ATATTATTTCTTATCTTCACTTTACAATAATCAATATATCTATGACAACCTAATTCTTTAAAATGAAAAATTACAAAGAATAAAATGACCACCAACCAATCCATAATTAAAAAATTATCAATTAATTAAAAATTATCAATTAATTAAAAATTATCGATTAACTAAAAATTATCAATTAATTAAAAATTATCAATTAATTAAAAATTATCAATTAATTAAAAAATTTAATTATTGGCATGTTTCTTTTTAAGAAAATTAATTTAGAAACACTATCTGTAGATAAATTATTACGTTTTTTGGTGATCTGGTTTCCAACGTCTGAAAAAAGCCTTTCAGACGGCACTGAAGTCGCACTTACACACAAATATTTCAATGCTAATTCTGACATTAAAGGAAATTCATTTTTCTTTTCAGCCCACCATTTTAGAGGATCAGTATTTCGGGGTATTCCTTGTATCTGAAGATATCGATCCAATTCATTATCACCATCATGATCATTGCTATTACCTAGTTCATCAAATAAAGAATCAAAAATTGAATTGTTATTTTTTGTTCTAATTGATTCATTGATTGTGTTTGATAATTCCAATGGTGATGCCAATAATGATGGTGGTGCTATTGATATTTGCTCTTGTGTTTTTTCCTTCAAATTTTTAATTTTATTTGATATTAAGTTATAAATATTATCCTTTTTTTCTTGATCAAAATTTTTTAAATTTTTGAATCTTGGGTCAAGCACTGACGATATCAAGCCAATTTCTGTTGGCATTGACCAGTAATATATTAATGAATTAAATAAAACATCTGCAAGTTTTTGAAGTAAACCATCAGTGTTAGCTGGATTGCTTATATTCAACTTTAGTTTTTTTCTGGCTCCATTTAATTCTTCATATGTTATAACTTCACTATCAATTGTACCCTCTAAATAGGCAGGTGAAATTGTTTCATTATTTGATTCTAACTCCAATAACAATTCATCATTGTTTGTTGGTGGAACATAGTCATTATCAAAACTTAAATCTGAATTAATTGTATTTATACTTTGTACTTTTTCAATCAAAATCTTAATAACAGGGTACACTAATGATAAGGTTACAAAATCTCGCCCACTAAATAACCTTGTAATATCATCAAAATCTTTCAAAATTTCAACAAATTCCTCTAAAAATGACCATTCGTAATCCTTCAATAAAATCTTTTTCAACTTACGACTATCTTCTCTTACGTCTCTGTTAATATCATCTTCCATGGAATTGGCCAGCTCAATTATTGCAGTTTTTAATTCAATTAATCTTCTCCATGCTCTATATGTACTGTTCCAGCGTGTACAAACATCTGAAATTGGTTTCAATATTTTGAGGAAATTAAGAGATTTTTGTATTTTTTCAAGTGCTTGTAATTGCTTAGGAGATCCAAAAAAAGATATCAATCTTTTTGCACGGAGTGTTAAAATTTTTATGTCTTTATTTGCATTTAGTGTTTTTTTGATAGATAATTGTAAGGTATGCGCAGTACATGCCACACGTTCCAAATTAAGTTCTTCTTTTAGTTGTTTAATTGAATTCACCATGTTCGAACCATTATCAGTTGTTATAGCTACAATTTTATTTTTTAATTTCCATTTGTTTATTTCTAACAACAATAAGTTCTTGATGGCTGAACCAGTATGAGGGTATGGAACGTAGTTTAAACTTAACAATGCCTCTTTTGGTTGGAAATTTTCATCAATCCAGGAACACGTAATACCCAAGTAGCCTTTAGAATTGCATGATGTCCAAAAGTCCATAGTTAGACAAAAATAATTGACAGTGTCAAATATATCATTCAATTTTGTTAATGAGTCAATATAAGCAACATTAATTATTTGTTTGACTGTGTGAATGGATGGAATATTAAATGATGGATTTAAAGAGTTAACAAATTTTTTGAAGCTAGTACTATTTATTAGATTAAATGGTTGACTATCCTCAATTATAAATTCTATTAAATTCTTTTGTATAGCAACATTATCCTCTTCTGATAATGATTGTAAATTTTTAGGTGTATAGACATTATTATTTTCCAAAAACTAGTTATAAAAAATAAGTTATTACTTAATATTTATTATAATTGATATAATTGATATAATTATTTAATTATGTAAGAAAATAATACTTTATGAAAAATCTCTGGTCTTAATATTCCATGCTCTTTTTCGAGGTGTTTTAAAGTATTTGTAGTAGATCCACGAGTTTTATCAAATTCAAAATGGTGATTACATAAATTACATTTCCACCCGTTATCACATACAGTGCAATATTTCCAAATAATGCTTGATTTGGCTTTGGCTTTTCTTTTAAATTCATTTTGAGGAGGACTAGCAGAAAAAGGGCTAGTACTAGTAGGATTAGTGAAAAAAGAAGTAGGCGGACTAGCGAAAAAAGAAACAGGAGGACTAGTGGAAAAGGAAGTGGGCCTAGTGTAAAAAGAAGAGGGACTAGTAGAAAAGGAAGTAGGACTAGTAGAAAAGGAAGTACAATCTTCTTTGTCATAAAAATCATTATCATTATAATCGTTAATATCATTAAACTGCATATTTTTTCTAAAAAATTTTAAATTTAGATTTAGATTTAGATCAACAATCTATATACTGCATATAACATCAGTTCTCACGAAATTCGTGAAACTCGATTCTCATGAAATTCGGTTCTCATGAGTCTCATGAAATTTGGTTCTCATTAAATTCGTGAAACTCAGTTCTCATGAAATCCGATTCTCACGAAATTCGTGAAACTTGGTTCTCATGAGTCTCATGAAATTCGGTTCTCATGAATCTCATGAAATTTGTGAAATTTGATTCTCACGAAATTTGTGAAACTCAGTTCTCATGAGTCTCATGAAATTCGATTCTCACAAAATTCGTGAAACTTGGTTCTCATGAGTCTCATGAAATTCGGTTCTCATGAATCTCATGAAATTCGCGAAATTTGATTCTCATGAATCTCGTGAAACTCAGCTCTCATCAATTAAATTTATTTTGCTACGATTATAAAATAATGTGTGAATATTAATATTAAACAAATAATTACTGTGTTAGTGTAACGTTACTATCTGAGAACCGAATTTCATTTGAAATTCGAATAAAATTCTGAAATCCAGATCTCGCTGATCATCAAATATGAAACTCGAGTTTCACCAAGTACAAACACTATTATGTACAAATTCAACAATAGCTATTTAGTAAAAAAATCAATTAATATTGTGTATTTATAATTATAACCACAATAAATGCAATATATGGGAGCTTTTCTAGCAAAAAGGGGTTTCGACCTCATTTGACCAAAAAATTTTTTTTTACATAATATTGATCT